GTTTGTCCTACGAGAATAGTTCTCTTATCCTAACCCAAACCCAGTGCATTACTGAGGTCACATTGGATTTGCTACCCTCAAACCTCCACATGCAGTGATCACAAAGAGTCTCTTGGACAACCGGTGTATTTTATTCTGTTGCAGAACTAATGCTATTCGCTCACTCACTCCGACAACTAACCGCGGTGGCTCTGCTCAGGAGGGTCACCTCCATCTGCAGAACCTTCCATCACTGTCTGTTTCTAGCTCTTAGACAAGCATTTCAGCTACTGCAAAGCCACTGTCCCCAGCCCACGCCGTGCCCATCCCTCATGGGCACGTGCTGCCCTTGCATTCTCACTGCTGATGTCCACGCCAGAAGAACAGTCAGTATTGGTGCCTTCGGGATGCAGCCAAAAGCACTGCATTTAACCTGCCAGCCTACTTTTTTAATCACACTAGATCTTTAAAACCAACCTCTTTTGGAACAACTAACGAGGAAACCAAGAAATAAAGGGTTCTCATGCCAGCACCCGCATCTTTCTTCTCTGTGGTCTGCAGCTGTCACACTTGTGTGGGTCAGGTCCACATTGCAGAGAGGGCCTGTAGCCTGCTCCACCCGGCTTCGCTGATAAGGAAACGGGAGCTGTTCCCTGTGGCCAGGGTTTCTCTCTGTGAGATTCTTGCTCTTGTTAAAAATAACATTGGACACAATCTTTTTGAAGTGGCATCTGGTGTGAATAAAACAGCAGTTGGTGACTGATGTTTAACATGGCGCTGTGGCGGCTTGGCTGGGGCCCATCTTGTTGGTGGCAGCATTCTTTTTACTGAAGGCTTGCCTCTGAGCACAGCAGCACGGTCCTCAGATGCCAGTCCTTGGGGGTGCTCGCGCACAGAAACTCAGGCACTGAGGCTTTCTGGGACCACCAGGCCCCTCCCAGGCACTCTTACTCCCTTTCTCGGTCGTCCCCAGGGTATCCTGGGCTGTGGGAAAAGGGCGGAGTATATTTTCAGTAGAATACATCACTTTTCGTTTCTTAGGAAAGTGTGGAGGCTTCCATCTGTACTGAGGAAAGAAACTGTGAGCCAATATCTATTCAGCAGATTGCACCAAAGCATTTTTCACATCAGGTTTATGAATAACTAAACTAACATTTGCTGCTACTGATGCTTTTCCATCAGAAGAGGCAGAAAGATAGAGTGGGCGAAGGGCTCTCACGTCACTAGCCTTCACAATCCATGGTCCAAACCAGAGTTAGCGGGTATGGAGAAATTAACTGAGAATTACCTTCCAGGAAAAGAAACCCAGTTAAGGTAAGTTGACACTTTTCCTAGATGTACATAACACAACAGCTTACTGTTTTGAAGTAACATCCTGTTTCACCAACTTACCCTAAAAGCGGCACTTTTGACTCTGTCGTGCAGAAGAGAAGCAGGCCTCAAACGAGTAGGGTGCAATTGGATTAGAAGGAGGCTACTTGGTCTCCATTTTATAGATGATTTGGGAGAATTCAATCCATCCTTATGAATTAGCGAGTAAGTCTATTTACAGATTTATTATAAATTAAAACACATAAACAAAAATTCATATACATCATAAAATGAGTGAAACTGTTTCCTCATTTCATTTTCCTATTATAGGAAAATGCAAGAGTTGAAAAGATAAACAAAACCATCAAAAATAATGAGGTGAACACTGCACCTGCTCAAATTTTTAAAAACTTAATGCTTGCCGATTTAATTTTTATTATAAAAGTATTACATGCACAGAGTTTCCGAAATTCAAATGCCATAAATGTTGCATGTGGAGAGCAAGATTATTCCAAACCCGCAGCCAGATTCACATGACCAGGCCCCAGAGAAAGCCATGGGTCATGATCCTTATGTCTCTTCCCAGAAATTTCCTCTACACAAACAGTCAGGGGTGGTTGTGTTGCATACTTGCACTTGTGTATTGTACACACACATACACATACATGATTTCCTTTCACAAATAAGAATTACAGTATTCGTAATGGTTTCTTTTTGGCATTTTTCACTTAACCGAGTTTTAAAATATTTTTTAATATCATCATACATATATCTACCTCAGTCTTTTTAACTGTTGCTTGATATTCTATTTACACATGTGCCATAATTTATATAACTGGACCCCTATTGATGCAGTTTTAAGTTGTTTTCATGTTTAAGTGGCATTTTTAAACACTTCTCTACATTTACTTCAAAATGTTGCTTCCTTATGTCCTCGGAAAAGAAATTAAACTTAATAGCACAGTGATTTTTTTTTATTCTAGAATGGATTTTTTTTTGCATTTAATATTGCTAAAATTGAGATGTATTATCTATTTTATTATGTCTAATAATTTAATTAGCAGTGTTTTTTTCATTTTCTTTCTCTGAGATCTGTAAAGTAACAGTGCATCTTACAATCAATAGGATGTTACATCCAAGAACACTAACAGTAGACACCCGTGTGAATTCGCAGCCCCTGTAAAACAGCAGATGCAGGTGTGAGGGTATTATTACCTCTTACTCCCAGGTAAGGACAACACCAAGGCAGGGTTCTGAGATGTGACCTACTGTACTGTTTTCCTCCTACACCTATAGGCCACGCCCCTCTCTTCATGGTCCCATTGCTGGTACCGGAAGTGGGGATATGAGGACTGAAGCTAGGGCTCAGGACAAATAGCACTGACCGTGGCTAGAGAGCATCAGGGCCGTCAGGAAGGGTTTGCACTCTGGCAGCCATCTGCATCCCCAGGAACAGGCACACAGCTCCCGCCCCCGGTTCCACTATTGGAGCAGGTCCCTGCACTGCTCAGAAGTTTTCAGACTTTAGGCCGATTTTGATGAATTCATGTCCCCAGACTCTTTGGTTAAGAGATTTTGCATTTAGATGTCAATTCTTTTTCCCAATGTTTTCATATCAGGAAGCCAGGTATGAGGTGGGTTTGGCAAATATCGTCATTCCTCTCCAACAGCTGGAGGTCACCCACGCAGGGCTCAATCACTTGAAAAGATTAGAAGAGTCACTCAGAGGGTCCAACGACCATGATACAATGCAGAGCTGCCTCAGAGTCCAGCTCTCTGATGACATCCACCATTACTAAATGTGTTTCCCTAAATCTAAATTTTCCTAGTAGGAGGTACAGAGGTGGAGACTGTTACTACTCCTGTTCTATAGAGGAAGAAACTGAGATTCAGAGGGTTGGAGCCATTAGTAAATGGAGAGTGGAAATTTAAACCCAACCAAATTCCTGCCTCTTAACCTCCCTGTCATTGGCCATGCTAATTCATCCTAATTCAGGGCTGAGACTTGACCACAGCCCTGAGTCCCCAAGGAAGACCTCCTCAGTGAATTACGAAACCCCAACACCCAAGCAGACAGAACTGGAAAAATTGATCAGATGTTAACTGATGGAACTAGAAATATTCAAATTAATGTTCTATCTACATGTCTGGGTTTAAAAACTTCATCATTGAAATTCATACCAAAGCTCCGCTAAGTGGGAATAATTTTTGAGTAATAGTGCAGGCACTGTGACTACTTGAGTTAAAATTCCTCACATGTTGACTTATTTCCAGTTAATAAGCAGAAGTAAAGGGTAAGCACCACCAGGATATTACAGGTTAAAAATCAACACAGGAGGGAAAATGGCAGCCTGAGCCTCCCGGTGGTTTCCGGTCCCTGAACAGAGACTAGCTAGAAAATGGGAGCATAAATACGTGCAACAGAAAGAACCGCAGTTCCAGCACTGAATGCCTGGCCGTCACTTCATGGTGCAGCAGCCACTTTGACAGTGCCCAAGCTGCAGTAAAAATGCTGCCACCATCACGTGGCCTAAGAGCGGCAGCTCTGTCTCATCTGCCCCACCCCCTCCCCACCACCATGGAGACACAACATGAGGAGGGTGACTCGGTGAACACGAGGCCTCTTGGGACCATAGCCCAGCTGGTTAGACAGTCTAGTGTAGTCCCAGATGCCAGAGAAGACCTAGAGTGCTTGAGTCCTCTGCCTTCCACTAGGCCTATAAGCATTAGTGCACCACCGGGTCCCAAATGTCACTGCTGATCCAGCGCTTTCGGGGTCCTAGAATGCACTTGTCACCTCATGGCTTTGCTCAAAGAAACCCCATGTCCCCTTCAGCCAGCTTCCCCAACTATTAATACTGGGCCACGTTTGCCTTATCATTTTCTCTATCACTACACATACACACACAGAGACACACATACAGACACACAGAGAGAGGTACGCACAGACACACAGACATACACAGAGAGGCATACACGCCAACACACAGACACAGAGAGGTACACAAATACACACTAATACACACACAGACACAGAGGTGTACACACACAGACACAGAGGCGTACACATACCACACACACACTGCAGTAGCTGTAAATTAGATGTGAGAAAAGTGTCTCAAGAGTGTTCTGCTTACTTATCAAATCTCAGGGCCTGGAACAGCACTCAACACTCAGGAGGCCTCTCTCAGCCTGGGCTGGACAGACACCCCTTATCCACCATAGCCAGGGCTATTCCTGTGATGTTAAGTTGCATGACTGTAGTGGGGTATCCCAGCACACATGCTGCTGCCATGCTTTAGCCAGATTTATTTCCAGTAAAACTTAGAGGTTCATAGTCTCTGACTTTGGTTCATAGTCTCTGACTTTGATTCATTGGCACAGTTTCAACTGTTAGCTACTTAGTCACTATATACACATATATAGAATAGTCAATAGACGTTTGTCATTGTGCTTTACTAGAAAAATAGTTGCTGTTAAAATGATACTTATCAATTATGATTAATAGCCAACATCAGAGCTGGCCTTACAAGTTCACTGCTATAGGAGCCACATGAGCTACTATAGTAGCCATCCACCCCAGGCTGCTGTCTGGTCCCTGGTGAGTGATGTAAGTGTCCAACAAAGGAACTGCAGAGTCCATTGGGAGAATTTGCCCTCCCC